TTATCAAATATTAAAAAAATAAAAATCAAAAACCAAAAATTAAAATCATGGAGCCTAAGCACCTCTTTAGATTACAATCTCCTTATATTGAACCTAAAATTAAGACAGTGACAGAACAAAATATATGACCAATTCATCCAATTTTTGGAATAAAATGTTTGACCATTCAATAAATTCAATAAATAAAAGATAATGTCCTAAAATTTGTTTAGAGATGGGGTTTGAACTTAGCCCAACCAAGAAAGGTTTAGAGCCCAATGAGCATTCCAGAACCCAATTACGAACTGTATCTCTGATTCTCTATGGTGTCTGATTCAGGCTGCTGCAACGAGCCCATATTGAAAAACTAGCTAGAGAGTGGAGCCCAAAAAAGGATAGTAATAAATGTTCGTTGGGCACTGTTTCAGATTGTCATTGTTTTTTTTTTGTTTTCCGCCCGGTATCCAGGATTTCGCCCCGACTATTCCGGACTCGATTAGCTGTGGCGTACCAGAATGGTGGGTGAATCTCCCAACGAAGGCTGCTGCGTACACAAGGTTTCGAACTTGAGACCTTACTTAAGTTGGAATAAGTCGCTTGCCACTTGATCCAACCCTTGTTGGTTTCAGATTGTCATTGTTTTCACACACACACGGCACTGGAACTCTAGAACTCTAGAGGGCTAGACGTTTGACTAGGATTAGGAGAAACATTCTTCCCAGTTGGAAAGGGTCATTAAAAAGCTTCTTTTTTTTTTTTTTTTTTTTTGAGTTGATAATTTTTTTTTTAAAGTATCTTGATTTATAATTTAAATTATATTATATTTTTTTTCATCCAAACTAAGAAGACAATTTCTCTTTTCACCGAACCACATTTTAATTAAAACTGTTTCTTATAATTTAAATTATATTATATTTTTTTTCATCCAAACTAAGAAGACAATTTCTCTTTTCACCGAACCACATTTTAATTAAAACTGTTTCTTTGACTTTCATATGGCAACTTATTTCAATTTCTAGAATTACAATTACAGATGCATGATGTTACGTCATAAATAATTAATATTATATTTTTTAAATATAATTATTTATTATATTTTTATATAATATTTTAAAAAATTATATTTTTTATTTTTAATAAATTAATAATTAATTAAGATAAAAAAATATAATATTAATAATTAAAAGTATAGTAATAACATTACCCACTTCATAGAATTAGGTTTTGGGTTTGTTTGAAATGTACCTTATAATGATGTAGATTAAATGTGTAATGAATATATTTTTTATAATAAATTTGTGTTAAAAAAATAAAATTTAATTTATCAACTGTCTAAATAAATTCATCTAATTGGTATTAATACTCAAATTAATGTTAATTTTTAAATTTTTTTATATACATTTATAATTAAAAAGATATCCTCAAGCTTTTTTTTATCATTTTTTGTTTGAGTTGATAGTTTTTTTTTTTTAGTATTTTGGTTTATAATTTAAATTATATTAAATTATAAAATAAAAATTATTAAAAAATAAAACTCTTAAAATCAAGAGATTTATTTTTATTTAATAATTAAAATTATATAATTTAATATAATTTAAATTTTATCATATATTTTTTTATCCAAGCTAAGAAGACAATTTCTCACCGAACACATTTTTATTAAAGTGTTTCTTTGACTTTTATATGGCAACGTATTTCAGTTTCTAGAATTACAATTACAGACAATGACACATATATTTTGTAAAATTATATATTTCGTTATATATTGACAAAAATTATTAGCATGTAACGAAAACTATTAGTTTTAATGACATAAATAATAGAAACTGTTAATTTTAATGATACAAATAATAAAAATCATCAATGTGTAACGGAGTTTGCAATTTTATAGGGTATTTGTATTATTTTCCTTACAATTACAAATGTGTGATTTCAAAGAAGGTTATTGTTATACTTTAAATAATTAATATTATATTTTTTAATATAATTATTTATTATATCCTTATATTATATATTTTTTAAAATTTTATATATTTTATTTTTTAATAAATTAAAAGATATAATAATCAATAAAAATAAAAAAGCATGACATTAGTAATTCAGGTGTGGCAATAACATCACCCACTTCATAGAATTAAGTATTGGGTTTGTTTAATTTATATCTTAATTATATAAATTAAAAATGTAATAAATATATTTTTTATAATAAAATTGTGTTGAAAAAATAAAAAATGATCTTTAATTTATCAATTGTTTAATTAAATTTATCCATTTGACATTAATACTAAAATTAATGTTAATTTTTACATTTTTTATATACATTTATAATTAAAAAAAATACCCTTAACTTATACCCTAAAAATATAGGTTAAAAAGATCTTTAGATTTTCAATACCTAAAATTGTAGTTTTAAATTTTGAAAAAAAAAAATTCTTTGCATCTATTTAGTTGCAATGCTATTATAAATTTACTATCACCATATATTATTAAATAAGTATATATAATGTTACAAATAAATTTTTAAATAAAAAAGTGAATATCATTAATAAATTTAAGTATGAAAAGAGTTAATTATAAAATAATATATTAATATTATAAATTTAAAATACTATATAATAATATAACTATATTATTTTCATAATACTTTTATAAACTTTCTACTCAAATAAAATTTCAGTTAAACGAAGAATACTATAGATGTTAAAGTTACTTACGTTGTTGGGTCGAAAATATAGAAAATTCTTCATCCCCTGAAGTCAGTGGTAAGGTAATGACTCCTCATCGACGCAAGGTTGCGAGTTGAAGTCAATTTGAGATATATCTATGACTTGCTTAACATAATTGTTATCAGTAATTATTTTTTAGATTAAATTTGAAGATAAAATTTTTAAGTAATATTATTTAAATAATTAATTATATAAATCTATACAAGACTCACACCATAACCAAAAATTACTATAAATTAATTCTACCCATCATGGTTATACATCTAGCATTGCACTGAAAATTTTCCTGAATTGGAGTTTTTCCTCTAGTCATTAATATATATATATATATAAACCTATATAAGACTCACACCATGAGTTGATTGGGTCTTGGAGGCCTATTTTTGTTGGCGTGACTGAAGAGTCAAATAGGGACTGCAGCCTCGACCCTATTGAGGAATTCAAAGGATGTGGCTAGCCACCTAACCTATGAGAGATGAGGGCAATAAAAAATGATTATAATTTTGTGGGCCTACTTACAACTTGAACTACCCTGAATCATTGAGTCATAATCCACAATCCATTGTTTCTCACCATTTTCTCTTTGGGCCCAAAACCGGTAACAGTCAAACTAGCTCAACTCGAGATTTAACTCTGAGGGTTTTTTGTTTTTTGTTTTTTATTTTTATTTTAAGTTACACAGTTAAAAATAAATTTTTTTATTGTACTTCATTCATAAGTTATGTACTTTATATTTAAGATATTCTATTTTCAATAAAAAAAATTATAATTAATTGTACTTAAGTTTGGTGGGCATTTAATTCTAAGCTCTGAAAACTCAAAAATAAAAACAAAATAGGGTGGGAGTCGTGGGACCGGGACGTTAATGCCAGGCTCCACAAATTGTTAAGGTAAACTAAAAGAATACTTCATAACTTAACAATGTGGATAGACTCTCTTGGCTTTCTGAGTCTACGAAATAGACAGAAATTTGTCTTTCTACTCTTTTTCAACTACTAATTAAGAAAATTGTTCAACAAGAGGAAGTCCTAAAATCAACCCACGAATCACGATTGCAGGGATGCATTCGTTTGGTCATCGGTGCTATCTTTGTCTCTTGGAAACTCCCTAAATTTTTTTTTATCGCCAAGGTTAATATATACCAACAATAATTCAGTGTTCCAATGATGATGATTAGTTCTTGCTTCTTGAGAAAAAATGGGGACCGGATTTATGCTTTTAAACAATAAAATCATCGTGCACCAAAAAGATTTATCCAAGACTACATAGTGTCCTTACAACTTAGACATGACTAAGAATAAGCTTACATGCTGAAAGCAACAAAATATGCATGTCAAGACCATCAACTTATATATCTCTGATGACTTAGCACACAGATGACCCGGCCCTTCCACGCTACACCCTCAAAACACCCTTGGGACATGTTCAAACATTCATAGGACCTACCACCAAACCAGCCTCCCTTATTTCTCAAAAATAACTTCAAAACACTAACCAATAAGGTTTAGAAAAGCAATAAATTAATTAATTGTTCTCCTTTGACTTCCTCTTGCTTTATACCACTTCTCCTTAATTTTACGTTAGTATATAATGCCTTGTATTTTTCTTCATCGTTTCATACACATCCTTTGTCTTGTAATTCTTCATTTGCTGCGCCTCCTTTCCACCGCCGTTCATGGACCCCTCTAATTTGACCCTCAACAAATCTCCTAGAAGGGAACTTCAAGGCCCCCGTCCAACGCCGCTCAAGGTCCACAAAGACTCGCACAAGATCAAGAAGCCTCCGTTGGCACCGCAGACGAGGCAACCGGTCATAATCTACGACGTGTCGCCGGAAGTCATCCATACAAACCCTAGTGACTTCATGGCCCTAGTCCAACGCCTGACTGGCTCATCTTCCTCCAATTGTTCATCGTCGGTTCCCTCTTCCACATCTACTCCGTTCAACCATGACGGCGGTGAAATTTCGCCCGCCGCAAGGTACGCCACTGTAGAGAAGGCAAATACGTCACCAGAAGGGAAGAAGAAGCAGCTGGCAGTGGAAAAAATAGGGTCTGTGGAGGGGATTGAGATCGGACATGGGGTTGAGAGGACAAGTTTGTTTTCGGGGATCTTGTCCCCGGGGCCAACGTCACTTCCACCAATATCGCCAAACTTCTTTTGGCCGGCGCTGTCGACTGATCCTAACTCTTTCAGCTTCATCCAAGACTTGATCAGTCCGGTGATTCATGGTAACAAGAATTTCATAGAGGGCAGCTTTATGCCTAGTCCTTCAAGCTTCGTTTCTCCTACTCCATCTATTGACCTTTTCAATAATTTCTTTGACAATTAGATTTAGATATAATTTTTTCCATTTGTAACAAGAATAATTTCTTCTCAAGGGGAAAGATAGTTATAATTAATTAGATATGATTTTTTTTTTCCATTTGTATTTTGTTAATTTTGATTATTTTTGGAGAGAAATATTACTGAAAGTATACTGTGTAATTGATATTAATAGTTTGAAGGAATGGAGGACAAAAATGGGAATATACATGGTGTGCCTTCTGTAGCTAGGTTTAGCAACTTGGAAACTTCTTAATGAACTTTATCGTATTACACTTTTAATGTGAGGGTTCTTTGTTCAATTTTATTAGATTTAATTTTTAATTTGGTCATTTCAATTTAATTAATTATTTTTTTAAACGTCATTTAATGTACTTATTTTTATTTTATCTTTATTTTCAAAAAAAATTAATTACAACAAATGTTAAATAAAAAATCTTATTTAAGTGCTATCAATTAAAAATATAAGAAGATAGATACATTTATATATAAATTTTACACATTATACTTACACAAAATCTTAATTATTTATTTATTTATTTTTACTAGTTGAGATTTATCATAATTTTTTTTAGATAAAAAAGATAATTATATTAAATAAATATGATTAAATCTCAATCAATAAAAATGAAAAAATAAATAATTAAAATTTTATATAAATGTAGTGTATAAACTTATATATAAGTAAAATTCCTACTCTAAAAATAAATATAAATTTATTAATAAATTATTATATTTTTATTTGATTAAATAAAAAAATTAAAAGAAAGAAGTAAATATTTTATTTTTATGAGTTACGACATTCATCTTTTTTTTTTTTTTCTTTTCTTTTCTTTTCATTTGACACCATCTTTGTCATGTGGCCATGTAATTTGGACTGGGCACACCGAGAAATTCAAAATCACATTATTTTCCCCCAATGCCAAAGGAGCGTTGACATGATGGTAGGCAGGAGTCTCTTCAAGATTTCAGTCCAAGTCATGCATTGTGTAAATTTATTAGTTTAATTTTGAGTTTGATTAATTTAATTGTAATTTTTGTAAAAATATTAGTACGTTAGAGATTTTACATGTATAGATAAGTTAAATCCTGAATTTATATAAAAATAATTATATATAATAAAGTTTAGAAGTAATCTGCATATATACGGTCTCGTTCTTTTTTGGGGGCTTACTGCGTTTTTTGTGTTATGTCTCATTGTGTTAAGTTCATGAAAGGGAGGACGGTGCTAAACTGGATATAACATCTCAACTTTTACATGGGTAGGATGGGTAGGATTTGTTAATGGGTTTGATATGTAAATATAAAAATTAATAACTATTAATAGTTTAAATTTAAATTTTTAAAGATTTATAAACTTTAATCTAAAAAGTTATTAAATTAATAACTTATTTTAACTAATATCATTTTAGTTGAAAAAATCAAAATACAAATTAAATTAATGTAGTAACGAATTTTATCATTTAAAAAGAATTAAAAGTAAAGCACAAAAAAGTTGTGTCATCTCTCATTATTTAAAATATTTTTTTTTATAAAAGAAAACAAAGGAACTCATAAAATTAATGGATTTTTTCAACTTTAATGGCATCGATTTAAATTAAAATCAATAATATAATTAAAAAAACTCAAATTAAAAGTCTACTATCTAACTTTGACACTATAAAGTGACTAATTAAACTTCAATTTATAAAAACAAAACATGAAAGATAAAAATCATTATTATCTTTTGATGAATGGGACATAGGGTCCCCAACTTGAGCGCGACAAAAAATAGACATTTTCTCCTGTTTTGGGTTAAAAAGTCAACCAACAGAAAACGACAATAACTCAATCACTCCATTCTTTTTTGGTTAAGCCCCCCATGTTAGTCCCTCAACTATTGTATAGACCCCGATTTAATCCCTCAACTCAAAAAATTTTTGATTTGGTCCCTACTGTTTACTATTTTGATCTTAATTTAATCCCTCTGTTAAAAATCCAATGACATGTCCCATTAATTAACGGAAGCATGATGACATATCAAAATAAAGTGATACCTTAGATGCGTGCCTAGAAAAAAGGATGACATGGCAATATAACATTTCATTTTGACTCAGAACCAAAAAAAAAAAAAGTGGACTCCACCTTCTGCAAAGCCTGAACCCTTCTCCCTCTTTCTTTCCATTCGAACTCTAGAACAACAAAACTCTCCTAGTACCTCAGCAACCATCCATAGAAAATTTTTTTTTTTATTTTTCCCAGTTCCTAGTTCCCAATTCTTCATCTTGTCTTGCTTTCTCCATTAATCAATTCTTCATCATCATCAAATAACAAAATGCACACAAAAAAAAAAGAGATTTTTCTTTTAATTTTTTGCTCGTAGGTTCGTTCGAACCCAGACCTTGGGTTCCTTGGAACCTAAGTGTCCTCTTAGGTTCGAACAAATCCAAGCGTCCTCTTAGGTT